AATGGATGAGGAAACCATCAACCTAAAAACCTTTAAGCCGGCAACACGTGCGTGTGTCTTATGAGTGCCAGAGACTCTGGGCAAGTGCCTTCAGTCCAGATACAACCACTTGCCCCTGCTCCATGCCTCACTCAGTTTTAATCTGCCTTCCTCCTCTCCTGGCACTTTTCTAAACCCCAAAGTCAGTGCTAAATATGTCTCACATGCACAGTTACTTCCTTTTTCATGTTGGAAGTGCTGCCTGAGTCTGTGTTCCTAATATGTGTGCAGATGTCTACTGTAAAATATACTGAACAAGTAGTGACTGCCTAATAGAGTCTTTTACAGGAAAATAATGGTGGTTACTACCACTATTAATGGTATGTCGGGTACATAGTGAATATCAGTGGAAATCAGTGGTTGAGGATTTCCTCTATTTCGGACTCTGCTCAAAGATCTTTATATGCACAAACTAATGTAATGGCATTTAAAATCGTTTGAGAAGCTTTTCACAATTTCAAAAGTTCCCCTTGTCTCCCTAGAGAACTGAGTCTTGCCATGCTATACACAACTTTCATGTATTGTTTATATGAAACCCCACAATTAGAGATGAATGTCTGTAAAATGTCAAAAGGTTGATTGGATACCAGTGATTAATTTGGCACTTTCCATATAAATGAGGAAGCTAGTGTTACAGAAAGAGTCTGCACTTTGACTAAGACAAGCCCAATGTTTATTAAAACCATTTTAATTAATACCCATTTATTGCATGACTTTATTATTTCTCTGAACCTAAGATTCTCCACTTGTAATATAAAAGCAATATTTACTTTATATGGAGGAGGAAAGCAAAGCTGTGTTCAGTTCTTTTTCATTTAACATTCTATTAGAAAAAAATTGCTATGAGCCAAGCAGTGTGCTATGTGCTGCAGACAAAATGGGGAAAAATGATAGAGATCCTGCCCTCAATGAGCTTATAGATTATGGAGCATACAGAGCATTTTAATTCAGGATAATCAGTTCTCTGCAAGGTAAAGAAGAGTATTCTAAGAGAGATTATAGGAGGATCAATTAATCCTACAGTGGTGATGCAGAGGAAACTTCCTGCAGAAGGGGACATTTAGCTGGAGACTTGTGGAACAAGGAGGAGACAGACAAATGAAATGAGAGTTAGACAAAGGAGAGTAAGGGATTTCCAAATCGAGTCAACAGAATGAGGAAAAGCCATCTCTGTTTATAAGCATCCTTTTAAAATTAAAGCACAATTCTCCCAGTCATACTGGAACCAGGTTTACTTTCCCATTCTGCACAATTATAAAAGTGGAGAAAAATTTAAATAGTACTTGCAGACATTGGACAGTAGTCAATGCAGGGCTTTCCACATTGAGAAAATGGAAACAAATGTGAATATAACAGTTGCTTTGATTTTCTGCTTGAAGGAACTTGCTAGATCATGGTCAAGAAGATGGACTTCAGCAGATATTATTGCACTGAGAAGATAGAAATCAGAGGTTGAAGGAGCTGAGGCAGCTAGAATTAGTGAGTAGAGAAGCATAAAGTAGGTAGTTATGGGGAGACAAAGTTCCTGAAATCCGGAAGAGAGTCCTTTTAAATTTATCATCAAATAGTATACATTTACAGGCTGAAATTCCAAAAGTCCAACCATAGAATACCCAAGTAGTTAGATAGGTCCAAGCTGAATGATTATTAGAACTCACACAGAGGTGGGAAACATTCAAGTTCCAAGCAGCTGGAACGCAGAGTCTTCCATGAACACTCGGGGTGTTGGATAAAGACTTCCAGGAAAGTTATTGTTACTGAACACAAGCACAGGTTTGTTTGCCTGCCACAGAGGAAGACCAATAACTGGAAGGCCAGGCTTGTGACAAGGAAAAAGATTTATTATTGAAAGGTAGCCAGTCAAGGAGACGGGAATTAAAACTCAGATCCACCTCCATGAAGGGAAAAAGGTAAATGTTTTCAGCTGGGGTTTTAGGCCGAAAGGAAACCATTGGAAGATTTTGCCCAGTTATTGCCCTACTTGAATAGTTGTATTTTAATTTCTTTATATGTTTAGAACTTCAGGGATTGGCCCAACCCTAGATGTTGATCCATCTCCAGGTATACCTTGACTTAGAGACACAACTGACATTGTTAGGAACTGACCTCTTACTAGATACCTCTCAGTTCTGCTCTCATCAGTAAGCATTTGTCTCTGATAGGTTTGATCCCTGCCCTAATACCAGTTCCCGTACATTGAACCCAGCATATAGGGGGTTAAAACCAAAAGCACCCATTGCTTTTCCCTGCTTCTTTAGTTACAACCATATGTAAATATCTGTTTCTTTAACCTTTGACTCCCTGATCTTTACTACCAAGAAGTTACAAGTTATTAAAACCAGGTGGCCTCACGCTGGGCTCACACTAAAGTTTTGGCTAATCACAGCTCCTTGAAGTTTATGACAGGGAAACTCATGTCCAGAGAATATCAAGGAATTGAAGCTTCCCAGAGCCCAACTCCTTGGCTCCCTGGCATGGAATGCACCATCCAGCATTGAGGCAGAAAACCAAGGAAGCCGTCTATGGATTCCCTTATCTCCTCCTCCTCTCTGCAAGCAGCCTCGCAAGACAAAACACAGGCTGCTTGGAAACTGCTGACCAGCAAGGCCACTTGCTCCCCCTCCCTTAGCTAAAACCCCAAGTAAAAACCCTTGCTTGTAGCTTTTTGAAGAGTTTGGTATTGTCGCGTTAGATACCCATTCCCCTTTTTCAGTGCTGTGTAATAAAAAATTCCTACTTTCTTCCACTACACCTGGTACCAGAGACTGGCTTGCTGTGATGGGTGACTAAACTCACTTCAGGTTCGATATCAGGTTCAAAGAGTATCATGAAGGCTGCTAATATCACCAGATTTACATTGTCACAGTTCAACATCCTAACAAGCCCAAAAGGAAAGAGAAAATAAGTAGACTCTCTTTCCTCTCTTTCCTGCTGAGAATAGCTTTCATTGGAAATGTCAGTCATTGGTACAACTGGTTTTTCTTAGTTCACAAGGCTAAGTGGTACAAGAACTAGTTACTGTAATTGGGTTGAAGTAATTCTGCCATTGCTCCAATCAAGGAGAATTAAGGGGTAGAGTCAGCATAATTTGGGAGTATGGGAATGGTGATTTCTTAGAGGAAATTCAAGCCACGACTGCTGGAACAAATGGGAATAAATTTTGTGTACCAAAACCTGCAAAATATAAATGAAGTATTTGAGGAAAAAAGTACTAAGCGAGGAAGGGAAAATGGGCAAAGGACCTGATAGACATTTCTCCAAAGAAGACATAAAAGTGGTGAACAGATATATGAAAAGTTGCTCAACATCACTAATCATCAGAGACATGCAAATCAAAACCATGACATATCATCTCATACCTGTTAGAGTGGCTATTATCAAAAAGACAAGAGATAATAAGTATTGACAAGAATGTGGTGAAAAGAGAACATTTATAAACTGTTATTTGGAATATAAATTGGTACAGCCATAATGGAAAAGAGTATGTGGGTTCCTCAAAAAATTAAAAAGAGAACTGCCATATGATCCAGCAATCCCACTTCTGGGTATATATTCAAGGGGAATGAAATTACTAACTAAAAGAAATATCTGTATTTCCATTTCATTGTGTCAGTATTCACAATAGCCAATATATAGAAACAACCTAAGTGTCCATTGATGGATAAATGGATGAAGAAAATGTGATATATACACACAGAAATATTTTGAGCCTTAAAAAAGAAGGAAATCCTACCATTCACAACTACATGGTTGAAACTGGGGAACATTATGCTAAGTCAAATAAGCCAGACACTGAAAGACAAATACTGCAATATCTTACTAACGTGTGGCATCTAAATAAGTCAAACTCATAAAACAGAGAGTACAATGGTGGTTGCCAGGGGCTGGGATGTTAGGGAAATGGGGAGATGTTGGTCAGAGTGTACGAAGTTTCAACAAATAGGGATCAATAAGTTCTGGAGATTTAATGTACATCACGGTTACTACAGTTAATAATATTGTATTGTATACTTTGCTAAAAGAGTTTAAGTCTTCTCACTAAAAAAAATAAAAGATAACTATGTGAGGTAATGGATATGTGGTAAACATTTCACAATGTATACCTACATGCAAACATCAGGTTGTACATCTTAAATATGTACAATTTTTATTGTTCTATTATACCTCAATAAAGCTGGAAAAATTGACTTTTTAAGAAAGGATAAAATGTCTATAAAAGTGCAATGATTGTTTTTCTCCTATTATAATGAAACTATCACTTCCTCAGAAAGAACTTTCCTGGGTATTGTTTCTAATGTCCCACACTCCCCCACCACTACCAACAGCCATTCTCTAGCCCTTTAAATTGCATATAGCTTCCATGTGGCCTCTAAGAATATATGAAAAGGTTGACTGATTGTTAATATGTTCAATTACGTCCTTCTCTATGAGTTCAACCTACACGAGAGGAAGGACATCGTCTCTCTTGTTCACCACTATATTCTCATATCCCTAAACCAATACCTGTCCATCATGGGCATTTTATAGATATGTATTGAATAAAATGATAATGAATTAGTATTATACATATACAAATGAATACACATGTGCATATATTCATGTACGTGTCTTAAGGCTCAGTATGTGCCAGTTGGAGTAGTGGTTGCTCTACCTGTGTTGTATCAAGTAATTATCATGGGTCTACCAGCCACATGATATTATCACTATTTTACTGTACAGAAATATGAAGTACAGAGAAATTTTGTGGCATGTCTATGGTTACACAGATAACAATTGAGAGAAATGGAAATTTTGAGATGAAAACCCAGGGTTTCCTGATTTAAAAACCTACATTCTTCTCTAGTATACTCTACTTCCTGATATCAATACTTAGTCTCTTTCCAGCATGTCACCTCTCAGTGAGAAGTAGGCAGTACATGAAATTATTGTTTCTAATTTTATTTAATTTATTTTTTCTCTCTAATAAATCAAATGTATTGAATGGACATTCAGTAAATACCATATATTGCACAATCACATAAATGGCCATGGATACAAATTAGATTAAGATATAACCCTGCCCTGTAGGAGAGAGGATGAGAGACCAAGGAAGAAAGGGAAGGTCGAGAGAGAGAGAGAAAATATAAGCTGAATCTGATCCATGATATGATTTTTACTTTATGTGTATTTACACTCAAATAATGGTTTGTGCACATACGAGTATTGACTGGGCTATTCAAAGGTATTTTCTATGGGAGAAGGAAAGCAGGAAAAGGAAAGAGAGGGAAAAGCCATACATCTCAACTTTCTGAAGGTAAAAATACCTTGCATTCCCAAAGGCAGGAAAGAAAGTCAAACAAGTGGGAGGAGTATTGGCCAAGGAAGCAAAAACATGCAGTCTGCCATGGAGGCCCCATTTCAATAATAACTTTTTGCCCTTGTTCTGCCAAATCTTATTTACTACCTTCATGTCATTTTATAAAAGCCGTGGAGGTTGATGAAAAACTTTCAAGAGCTATTAACTCATTGAAGTCATGATGCATTTATTTAACTTCTGCTATTATTGATAAAGAGCCAGCAAAATGGATTGTTAACTTCTTAGGGGAAAATGAGAACATAGCTCTGAATTTATATATATATATATATATATATATATATATATATATATATATATATGTATATGTATATATAAAAATTACAATCAGAGTTGGATTCTGGTTCTTTCCCAAGTGGGGTTCTTGCATAATTGTCAAGATAGATTTGCTGGAACATTTTCCTGCTGATACATTGGTGGCATCAAATCTCCTATAACTGGTACAGGAGATACTGTTTCTGCCATATGAGGATTTGATGGCACCGGGAACACAACCTGTGAAAGCAATCAGAATGCCATACGTGAGTGAAGCAAATAACCTAAGGGTTTCCCTTTCTTGCCCACACAATGTCATCATTATCAGAGTCTACCATTTCTTCTCTGAATTCAGTCTCAACATCAGTTTGGTGGGGTTTCTCAGGCATTCTTTAGATCAGGCCATATCTAGAATATACACTCAGTGATAGCTCTTAGTATGAGATACTGATAGCTGTTGCTGTGGTGTTGCAGGGATGGATCTCACATGTGGATGGTGGTGCCCAACCAGTTGGGTAAACCGAGGTATCGTGGAAAATATAGACCTCTTCTATGAAACTTTGTTGTGCATGCTGATGGCAACAGCCTACTGAAATCATTGATTTGCTGGACCTGAATAAACCATTGCAAAAACTACACTGACCCAAAATAGCAAGAATTGTTAGGAAACTAAGGAAAATGCCTGTGCTTCTTCTAGAAACTCAATGTGAAATGGAGTGTGTGTGTGTGTGTGTGTGTGTGTGAGTGAGGAAGATCTATCCAGGAAGAGATAGAGACTTAAACATTATGCCCCAAGGCTGTTTCTTTTCTTGATTCACACTTCCCAACACTGTAGACAGTAGAATTAGGGGAGCACATATCTCAGCTCTGTAACTACTCTAGGAGCAGAAGGGAACACTGGCCTTGATATTCTGATAGGAACGTTACCAATGAGTTTGTTCCCTTGTTCAGATGCTTCACTTAATGAAAAAAATACTCCACTTAATAAAATTACAAAATCACTGGGAAATGCTGAGAAACTCTAGCTTCTAGGGTCTTATAATGCAAGAGACCACTAATAAAGTTAATGTAATTTAGTCAATTTCTCTTCTGTGCTCAAGGGTGGAGGGGGGTGGGGGATGTGGTGCAGCATGGGAGCACCCAAAGAAAGTAAAGAGGCACAAAATGGAGGAGAAAGGCACCAGAAAAATAATGTTATGAGACTATTATTGTCTTATTACTGGGTTTTGGCATTTGTCTGACCTGGGCCTTTGGGTAAAGAAACTAATGAGGATCTGTTGGGCTTTTAATATTCATTTCTCACCCTGGAACCCTCAATTTTTGGAAGATATCCTTATTTTATTCTTCCTAAAGCCTCTTGGACTCTTGTGTCCTCCCATTTCCCAATCCTCTCCAGGTGTCATCCTTTCTGCTCAGCAGTCAAGAAGATCTGCTGCAGGTCTCAGGGTAAGAGAATCGGCTTGTGTGCACACACTGACAGAGAAGTGTGAAACCCTGACTTCTTCATCAGCCCAGGGAAGGCTGTAATTGGGGCAATGGATTAGAATCTGGCACTGTCTACAGACCTCTTCATTGTTAAGTATCTTGATGTGGAGTAAGAGTTGAGGCCCTTTGAGGGATAAAGACGAAGAAAAATAGCTTTTCTTTCTCCATTGTGGTAGGCAGAATTCTAAAATGACACCTGGTCACCCATGCCCCTGTATGATTCTCTTCCTTAGAGTATTTGTGGGACCTGTGTATATGATGGGATATCAATCCTGTGAGTTAGGTTACTAATCAGTTGACCTTGGGCTCATCCAAAAGGACATTATTCTGGAGAGACTTGATCTAATCATGTGAACTCTTTAAAAGAGGCTTCAAGTGCCAAAGACTTTTGCTCTCCTTTAGGCCTCAACGTAGACGTTGTCGTGAGTTCCACAGACGAGAGGAAATAAATTCTGCCATGTGAGCATGGAAGAGGACCAGAGGCCTCAGCTGAGATCACAGCCCCAGCCAACTTCTTGATTACAGCCTTAGAAACCCTGAGCAGAGAACCCAGCTAAGCTGTGCCTAGACTCTTACCCGTGGAAACTGAGAGAGAATAAATGTGTATTGTTTCTTGCCTCTACCTTTGCGTAATCTATTACATAGAATAGAAAGTGAATGCAGGTATCTTCAAGGGAAACCCACTACTCACCCGACCAGGATTACAACAGGTTATTTTGCATCCAAACACAGAGAGGAACATCGCAATGCAGAACTCCAGCACACTTAAAATGAGCACCACCCCATCCATACCCTAAGAAAAATATTCATAACAAGAAAACGTGAGGAATAAAGATGACAAGTCCAAATCATTGACCACAGATTACAATACCAAAAGAGATGCAGCATGAGGCAGAGGTCAGAAAAACTGGCTCCTAATTGCAGCCATACACTTATGTAATTCTTAGCCTTCTGAATGTCACTTCTCCTCCTAATTTTTTCACTAATAGAATAATCATTTTTCCCCATCCTCTGCTTTCCAGTGTTACTATAGATACAGAATGTGAAAATGCTATTAAGCGGGGGAGAGATCGTCAAGATAATAATCAACTTAGTTCTTTCAAACACTAGGAATTCCATACAGCTGACACAATAATGTGACCTCATATCTTAGTAAATGAGGCAGAGTAATAAGTTTAGGCAGGAAGATAATAGAGCAATGAGATCCACATCCTGCTCCCTAGAATCTGTGAATATGTCAAGTTACATGGCAAAGGAGAATTAAGTTTGCAGATGGAATCAAGGTTAATAGATGACCACGAGATGAAGGGGTTATCTTGAATTGTTTGTTAAGCCCAAAATAATTATGGAAGCCTTATAAGTGGAAGCAGGAGGTAAAAGAGTCAAAGTCCATGAGAGACTTGAAGATGTTGCACTGCTTGCTTTGAAGATGGAGGATGGCACAACAGGGGCAGGAATGTAGGCAGCCTCGAGAAACCACAAAAGTCAGAGAAACTGATTTTCCCTTACGGCCTCTAGAGAGGAAGACAGCCCTAACAACTCTTTGTTTTAGCCCAGTGAGACTCTTTCAAACTTTTGACCTTCAGAACTGTCAAACAATAAATTTATGTTGTCTTAAATCACTAGGTTTGCAGTAACTTGTTAAAGCAACAACAAGAAACTAATACAACAAGGAATACCAAGTTAGTTGGTCTTTAATCCATTTCCACAGAGAATAGACTTTAGGTCTAATTTTTAGCCAAAACACATGGTCAGATTTGAGAAATACTGGGCAGTACTCTTATTGCTAAATATCTGAATTGGATGCCTGAATTGATGCTTAGGATTCTTTGGCCTAAATATTCTCTTTTTCTCTCTGTGGATAGGGATAGTACCTCTGCTGTGGAAGAGCCAGTAGATCAAGAGCCCAGGACATGAGTGACACTGATTCAAGTGAACCTTGAGAATACTTGCATTCATTGTTTCTTAATCTATTTACTCACCTCTTCAAGCTATTCGGTAGCCTTTATGTTTCAGGAATTGTAGCCACTAATGATAGGGCATCAAACAAAACAGAGAGTTTCCCTAACCACAAGTATTTTTCCATCTAGTAGGGTAGACCAGGAGTTAACACAATTTCCATCAGGGTCCAGCTAGCATATATTTTTGGTTTTGCAGGCCATATGGTCGCAAATACTCAACTCTGCTGTTACAGTACAAAAGCAGCCATGGACAATATGTAAACAGATGAGTGTGGCTTTGTTCAATTAAACTTTATTTACAAAAACAGGTGTCAGGCTAGATTTCCAACAAAAAATAGAAAAAATACATATAATATATATGCTTTGAGCTAGATGAAACTACTATATTTCTAGATCAAGTAGACTTGATCATTGGCAACTTCATTTGGTTCTGCCTAATGATTCCAAGTAGTGTGCACTGTCTATATTTCCTACAAAGAGCTCACCTCTTTCTAACTCTTTTTATATTTAAGTAAGTACAAAAGTAAGCCCTTGGGCCTTGTCAACTTCTAACTGCTTTCCTATATTTCTATCTTTTCTTCTCAGAAACACTGGAGCTTCCTGAAGGTGGGGGCCTGGTCTCCTTCTTACGTCTTCCAGAGTGTCAACTCTGGGGCTGGGCATAAAGTGTGGGCACATAGACCTCTGGACTGACTGTGCAAGTGCCCAGGTAGAAATAGACCTGATGCTCCAGATCCGAGGAAGCCCTTATGGATGCACTCTGCTATAAGGGCAGGTGGAAAAAATGCTCACAGAATAGGAATTTGTGATGGTCTTTGGGAGAAGGTGATTGAGATGAAGGCAGGACTGGCTACAGCATTTACAGGCCCTCTCGTGAAAAGGTATTAAGAACTTCAAGACAGCAACAGCACAGCAGTAAACCAAGTGTAGACCTCTTCTATCTACAAAGCCCTGAGTGACCTTACAGGTCCCGTGCCCACAATACCAGCCCTATGAGGATGGTCAATTGTAGACTGTGTCCCTGTCATTGTGCCCTTAAAGTCTATGAGTGGAGAGAACTTCCAAAAGTGGATGTCAGATTCTTCTTAAGCATAACTACATGAAAAATATTAAATAATAGGAGTATTAGAGGCAGGAAGTTACAGAATCTGATCTTACTTTTGTCAATATCTAACTGAGAGAACTTGAAAAAAGTTTTACATTCTCTGAAGAAACTCTCTTCTGATTTTGAGTGAGTGGTAATAAATAAAATTTTTGCTGTAAAAAGTGATAGAAATCTCAAGGGGAGTAGATTATTTTAGCAAAGACACTGAAGGGGTTATTTTTGGGTGAATATATAACAATCAAGACTCACCTAGGATTAGCCAGGAATGAAGAAAAGTTCGTGCAACTGATCTGCATAAGAAATTAGGGAGAATGCTGTTTCTAAATTTAGGTGAGGAAAGAAGACAATGAGAGCAAGAACTAAGCAGCACAGTGAAAGGGTGGAAGTTCAAATGGAGGGGAGATAACGGAAAACTTAGTGATGTTGAGAATGGCTAATAGACTTTTTAATATTAAAGATTTCATTGCATTTTAGTCTGCTATGGGTGCAGCAATAACTCTTCTTTCCTGCACTTACCCAAAACTTCTAGATGTTTTACCACCTACAAAATCTTGTGTAAGTGGTAAATTGGAAAATAAAGCGATTAGGATAATACCAGGATGAGTGGAAGTGGTACAGAAAAGTAGTAAAACACAGATTAAAGATTTAGAATTTTCTAAGAGCTGGAAGTTGAGGCCAAAGTGCTTAATGTTTCAAGCACATCCAGAGATGTTGGGAGGGGTACTGGGTTAATCGCTACTTGTCAGATAATGTTCAAGACAATTTTCCTTTATTATTAGAGACATATATGCATGATTAGAGACATGATGCAGGCAACGGTATCAGGCTCCATCAGGGCTCCCTGGGACATATAGAGGCTGACATCTGGGCTCCAGTTTTAGAATGGATAACAGGACATACTTACCAGTGTTTTGAAATTAAATGGGAAAACATGCAAAATGCTTAGCACGTTAGTTATTACAGAGTGAGTGTTCTTCAACTATAAGCTTTCTTCCTACTTTCCCTTATTACATTTACAGAAGGAACACAGAGAGAGATGAGATGTGGGCCTGATTCCTAAATAAAAGATCGCTCTATGTCTCAATCACTTCTAACTTTTCAAAGTGATTCATCAATTAGGGAATACTGATGGTTACTTTTGCCAGACCCAGGGCTCCTGTGCCTTGCTTCCACCACAGTATCCCACAAAAAGAGGAAGCACTAACCATTAAAACATTTACAAGCATGGAACAATTCATTGGCTTCTGATTGTTGTGACAGTAATAGTAACGAGATGAAAAAACACTCATGCTGATCACAGTGATTATGATCCCTGATGCAGCTAACACAGAGCTGGTGATGTTTAGTCCTAGGCTACCTTGGACCTAGAAAGGAAGGAAAATCAATTAATCCAGGAACATCTTCCATTATATCTTCATCAATCACTTTACACCCATCACTTCGTGTCCAGCCATCTTTTCCATCTTGATTATTGCAATCATCTCCTAACTTTGTCTCTGTCTTTATGGTAGTTTCAACTCTAATCTCCTGCCAAAACACAAATATCATCCTGTTATTCCCACACTTAAATCCTTCAGATGACTCCCATGGGCACATGAAATCAGCTCCAATCTCCTTAGCTGGGTTTTCAATATCCTTTACACTTTAGCTGGACAGTCCTGTCTGTGTGCATCTCCTACCATGTACTGTTTCAGGTGCCTGACTTATTTTCTAAATTCCACTTGCCTCTCATGCCTCCATGCCTTTTGCGTAGTATCTCCCTTTGCTGTGTATTCCTTTTCCTACGTTCTCTTTCTCAGACAAGTTTTGGTGGCTTTTAATAAGAACTAAAATTCCTCAGGAAAGTATGAGAGGCGTCGTATGGCTGTCACATGAGGTAGATTTTAATGGTTATACCTAGAGGAGATGCTAGGGAGGCAAATAGAGGTCAGATTTGGAAAAGCCATATTGATCATCTCCATACTTTGATATTCATTATCCTTTGAGTGGAGAAAGCTCCAATGTGGTTTTACCTAGCAGAAACATTTGTTGAGATCTAGGCTTTTGCCTTTTATTGTTTTAAATTTCCTGCTTCTTATTTAACAGCCTTATTGTGAATTTCTTTGGTGGCAAACTGAATCAAAATCCTCTCTGCCTACAGTTGGAATACAAACTTTCATCCAAGACAATAAATATGATGCCACACCAACACTTGGTGCCACTGTCATGAGGGGCTGGATCTCAAGTTGTAGGTTTGTATGACCCATCCATTTGACGGTTCTTTCAGGAATTCTCTGTATTTCCATAAAGATTCTCTCAGCAACTGCCTTCCCAAACTATACCTTCTCATGTCAGTAATTCTATTATCAGCCAATTTTTTATTCCAATTTTTGAAAGACCAATCCAACTAGGTAAAACTTAGAATCTCTTCTGATTTTTAAAAACACACAAAATTTGTTTTCTCTTCTGGCAGAATACCTAGGAGGTTAATCTTTCTTCCTTTGGAACAGAAACCAAGAAATGCTACTCACCACATCTCTTGTAGTTCTAGTTCCTGCTACAATTGACAAGGACCCTGAAATAATAAACTAATAACAAGGAGAAAAATACAGGTAAAAAATGTTATACAAATATTTGAAGGCATAACATACCAAAACTTGTCCCAAAATGTGATAAATATGCTAAACAGACTAATTACATTGGAAGAGACACAAAAGTTTGTAAATAATGGTACCCTTTTCCCCAAAACAACAGAGAAATTGTACCAAATGGAGTCACAGGAGAATTTGTCAAGCCTTTCAGAAAGTGTCTAACTGTGATGGTATTTAATCTGAGGGGATTGAAATATAAAGGAAGATCCTCAGTTCCTAATATGAAGTACCTCTAATATGGTGCCAAAATTTAATAAAGTATTACAAAAGAAAAAACCCTAATGATTGTTTTCATTTTAAACTGACTATTCAAAGTTGTAAAGAAAATTGCAGCAAAGAAAAATTTTAAATTCTATATTAGACGATGATAAGAATATACAATTTCATTTGACACCATCAATTGGGTAATTATTTTCACTTAGGTAAAATGACTGGAGTCAACTCAATTGGTCTCGCTGCCTTAGACTTTCTTAACGGTTTCAGTTTCTGGGTTTGCTTTCCAAATTTAATTTCAGATGTTTCAAAAATTCTATCTTAATACAAAAGAGGATTGATCTAATGAAACAGCTTGATAAATTTCTTCAACTGATTTCAAAATACCAAGACATAGAGATGATTAATGTAAACTAAATCTCCTCTGGAAAAAAAGAACAGGGAGAATAATCCGTCGTATTATATGAACTGAATCATAAACATATGGAGTATTTCTTAAAATGTCAAGTTATTTTAATATTGAAATATTATTATAATTTATGAAATTACTATTTAAGGAGAAAACACATGCTAATTGCCATTTATGTTTATAGTCTTGATAAGACATTTCATAGCATTCAACATTATTATTGACTTAAACATTATTTATAAAATATGAAGTGTTGCATTTTCCATAACATGATAGAACATCTATCTCAGTCTAAAGTCGTTACCATGTTTAATGGGAAACACTAGGGCCATCTCATAAAGTCAAATCAAGATAAAGATGGAGACTATTATGTATCACTATTCTTAGTATATTAACCAAAATGATTATATAAAAAAATTGAAGCAAATGGTTAAAATTACTGTTAAATATGAATATCTTATACTGAAAACATCCAAGGTTATCAACTAAAAACTACCATAAATAGGAAAATACAGTGAGGCACATGGGAACATAATTATATACAGAAATTATGTATACACATTATAAATATATGTGTGTTTGAATATAGAATTTCATAAGATAATTTCATTTACCATAGCAAAAAATATATAAGGCTTCTGAGAGAAAAAACTTAACAAGGAATGTGAAAGATATATAGAAAGAAAAGATTATGATGTTCTAAAAGTACACAAAATAAAACTTGAACAAATAGACTAATAAGGGGATAATTTTATATAATACTGATACAGGAGATTTAGATCTACTGGAGGGTAAAGAGCCAGATAGAAGAGAAATTTGTGACTCTTTCTTGGTGTTTGTTCTTGTCCACATAAGGGAGAAAAAAAAGACACATCACAGGTGAGATTTCTCAAAGAAGGTTGAAAGAACACCTGAAGGTAGCAGAAAAATAATGTTTCCCCAGTTAACAAAGGCTCCTCTAGTGGGATACCTACAAGAGTCTGAGTGATGCCTCAATTGACAAACACAGCTCGTGCAGTTCCTGGTAATCTACTGATCATGTGTAAAGGTGTAAATTATGAAAACTGGTTTCCAATGTGGTCTTGAAAAAGAAATGAAAGGGGAAGCAGAAAACTAGAGTGGTCAGATGAATGAAATACTGGAAATAGACTGGCTCTATTTGAGCCCTGATTGCCATACCATAAAATTGTGCGATCTTGGGCAAGTTACTTAATCTCTCTAAGTTGCAATTTTTTTAAACCTTAAAATGAGGACAATGATAAATCCTTTCTCAGAAGTTTGGGATGATTTTTTTGAGATGGAATTGCAAATATAAAGCACTTAGCAGAGTGCCTAGATCATAGTACGAGCTTAATAAAAGCTATTATTGACATCAGTATGATGAGATAAACAAAGCATTGCACAACTGCCCAGAAGGAGAACAGTATTTACTGTTCTTCAGAGCTTGAATTTTTTCTATAAACAGGTGAGGAGGCACATAAAACCAGCTCATTATAGGCTTTAGACTCTAAACGATCTCATTCTCAACTTTGTAGATAAATAGAAATTCTGCAGACTTGAATAGGTTCCCTGATTCTAACACAAACCCAGTTTATACATGCATTTTCCTCTTGTCAGTAGGTAAAACTTGATACTTTATATTCTATTTACACTCTCAATTTGCAGAGAAACTCTGCATTTTGTTCAGGGGGAAATTTTTAATATTTCTTAAATTTTAGTTCAGTTTTAATTATAGTTATTGATATTAAAGTTATGAGAAAAAATTTAGCTAACAGCACTTGCATTTGCTAAGCTAACCTCTTGCTAAGGTCTGATAGTTGACTACAAATGTCCTGCATACCAGCCATGCCCCCTTTTCTTCCTTGCTAACAAAATCCTCATTTTGTTCAGTCTCCCAAGAGCTTCAATGAACCCTTCCCAGCCATAGAGGTGAATCTCGATTAGTCCAAGCAAATAGTGGGAAATTCGTGACCTTTGCCCATAGTTGGCTTGGGAATAGAAAACATTTATGCATTATAAAACATTTATGAACAATGACATGTGCCAACATATCTGATATGATATGCCAGCAGTCCTCAATGAGGTTACCTCAATGAGGTAACTCCTGAATTAACCAACCCTGACTAGCCACCAGGCTTCTTGTTGTGAAATAATCAACGTTTTCAATGTTTAATCCATTACAGATTACAGTTTGGACTTTTTGGTACATGTTGCTGTAATATATCCTACCTGATATACATTAAATATTTAGTCTGCCTAGCTTTCTATGAGTTTTATATTATTATTACCACTTTAAACATGAGAAAATTGAGTCAAAAGAGGTTAGAGATCTTTCTCAAAGTTAAAGAACTACAAGATAGGGTTAGGATATGATTCCAAAACACAGGATATTAACAACTATGTTATACTGTCTCCAACTATATCCAGCGGTATTCTGCTCACCATCACCGATCCCCAAATTGTGTACCCTGAGTACACTGATATGGGACGGTCATAATAAAATTCAGTAAATGAGAGCCAAACACTAATCATTATTATTCCCAAGCCGAGGTTCACCAGGGCAATCACGATCTGCACAACCTAGAAACAAAGAAGAAAGTAAAACCTGATTATCTACCACAAAAACAGAGCCCAAGCCATCCCCTTTCCACCACTAAGTTATCCTTATTCTCTAACATTTGAAATAGTCAGATGGTCTTCTTGATATTTTCTTGTCATTTTTTTCATATAAAGAATTGTGGATATATTAATTTACTAAAACTATGTCTTGGTATATCTATCCCAATTGCCTCAGGAATTTCAAAGTAAAAAAAGGAGCGTACCAGGACCTACCCAGAGGTGTTTTGTGATACCTAGATATAATGCTACTCCTACCAAAACTGTTACTCTCCTTTGCACATGCTCAGAAAGAAGTGATCCAGAAATTAAGAAGCAAATATTCCAGCAAGGAGAAGTAATCTAAGGAAGGAGAGTATGTATAAGGGAAGACAAAGAGAATAGCAATATGCCATTTTCTTGGGGTCTGGGGCCTGAGGATTCAGGGGTCTTGATTCAGGGTCTAAAATAGAGAAGTTGTAACATAGTACCCCTTGGCACTCAAAACGATCCAAGGTGTCTTAATGACTTAGCCTCATTGATTTAAAGCTTGGACTAGAGACAAACCTCTGTATTCACTGTCCTCCCACATTCACTAACCTGTGTTTCTTTAAATGGTCTATTTCCTCTAGGCACATCCACCTGAGACTCCAGACAGCAATGCACAGAGGATAGAAGAAGGCTAAGAAAATTCCCCAAAGAGAAAGTAACAATATGGGTCCATCAACCATCAGGAAGGTCTGTGGCTGGGACACCAGCTAGTGTACATGTGTCCTTTTCTTTTTCCACTCTTCCATGCTGAAGTTAAGTATAGTTATCATGGATGACCCACAACCTCACAGTACATATGAAGTCACTCTATTTTAACTCAACTAAATCAGAAGCAAGATGCAATAAAATGTTGAATCATTTTTCAAATGAAAGGGCCTGAACACCAAATGCTGATGTTCTTAGGGCTGCCTGATGTATTATGAGGCTATTGGGACAGAGTATTTGTTTTATGTTTGATCTATTGTGTTTCTAAAACATGATGTGTCTTCTCTCAGATCCTCAACTGACTTACCCCAAGGACTTTGGGTTCCCCCTTCAAGAACTTCTCTGACATCCCTTTCCACAGATATGGGTTCTGATCAGCAACCTGTCCCAGCTGGTACACATTAGGACCAGCCCCTGGCATGGTCTGTTCCATCCTTTGCATGGTTGTCATGGCAGCAGAAAAGGTGCTACAATAAGAAATGTAATTTAAGATGAGGTCATGGAAATGATAGAACAGCCTCTGGTCTACATGCCCTTCCTCTATTATAACAGCTATTAGAACATCTTCGCAAATGTCATTATTTTGTAGTCTAGCTGAGAAAGTAGAACAAGGAGAGAAAGAGAGAAAGAGAGAGTGATAAATGCCTTGTGACATCAAGATGCTAGAAAGTATTGGAGAGATAGAAATATGGATAAAATTGAGATGAATAGGCTGGGCCCCGCAAATTCGGGAAATGTCTTCCAGTTCATGCATCAAGTCTGCACTCAGATTTTATCTCTATCCATATTAATACATATTCCCTTGAGTATAGCCATTTCCCCTTTGAAAGAAAATTTATAGTAGCAACAAAGTGTACAGAATCACCTGCATTCCAATTTAATGTATTTTGTAGTCTTCCTTTTCTTATCAGAACACTGTGACTCAGAGGGCTCTCAGAGCTGGAAACTTTCTCCATCTTCATCTTTACTAAATACAATTTGTGTAATCTTGGATTATACTCTATAAACTCTGGACTTTGGGGATGGAAATTATGATTCTGAATCAATTCCCTGGCACCAGGAATTTAAATCTCTTCTCCCATTAAAATGCTTTAAATCCTGACTTGTCAATGCAAGGACATAAAAAATTATCTTTCTGAGACTCAAAGCACAACCATGATACTCTTATGCCACTTTTTCTCCCAATACAGTAACCCCAATCAGGTTATGTGGAGATAGGTTAAAGTCACATGAACATTTTTATCTACTCATCTGAGTCCATATTCAGATCTTGCGTGGCTCACTTCCATGAATTTTGTGGGAAGTCAAACTGGTTATGACTCTGCAAAGCCACAATCAATTCTGATACCATTTATGCTTTCATTGGTGCTTGGTAAATTCTCAAGATTAGAGATGTGTGCAATGTTGGTAGCACAAAGTAAAAGAATGTTCTAGCAGCACAAATTTTCTGTGTATTGGAAAAGAATTCAGAATTTCTGGAAAGGATTATTAACCTATGTTTATATTCAGATGGCCAAGGGCACTACATTATTAGTTATCTAGCAATAAAACTGATGAAAATCAGTAAAAAGTGAGTCAGTTTCAAAGATAGATAGAGAAAATGTTCAAATTAAAATAAAATATCAATCATTTAAAATATTAATTTAATTTTGGTTAAATATACATTCTGAGTTCTGGAAAGCAGTAGAATGTAAAGTACTAAATAGTAAATCAGTAAAACTTAAAAAAATAAGAATATAGAAAAGTATAATGAATAATTCATAAGCAATGCAAACGTGAAAGAGACGAAATAGTTAAGATCAAGAAGTAAAGAAGAGGATGTAACCAAAAAAGTCAATGTTTCTTCTACTGTTCTAGAAAATTTCCAATATCAATATGGAGAAAGAAATTTGGAACTCCACTTTGAAACTAGGAAACAACTAAAATCTCCATAACACAGGTGAAATCACTGTGGAAACCACCAAGATTCACAAGGATGAATTCTGGGGAAATGTGGAGAGTGTCAAAGAAACAGGACCCTATGGCCACAGATTTTCAGCGTACACTTCTCAAATACAAGAGGCTCATTGAGGTAGGAAACATATATTATTGTTTATAATCCTGAGAGTGAACGCGCCAGTTGATAGCTGTAACTCTCTGCACAAGTATAGTTCTGAGAAGTAAAGGGCAGGAAGAAAAGAGAAATCACACCAAAAAGCCCATATTGTACAAAGCCATCTGTCTCTGAATAAGTCTTACACTGGAGTTCACAATGAAGGAAGCAGGTATTCTTGGCATAAATCTCCAAGATTCCACAGATTAAGATCATCTGAATATATCATCACAGTCACAGATCACCAAATGCACAAAAACAAAGATACCATGAGATGTATTGAGGAGAAACACCAAATGCATCAGATATTAGCATAATCAAATACAGAATATGTAGTAAATATGGATAAAATATTCAAGTATAAATGGAATCACAAAAGCGAGAAAGCATAGATAAACTGCAAAAAACGACATGACTAATTTCAGGTGTGAATAAAGATGATGTTGATATTTAAACAAAGCTGGTCAAGTGTGAAATAGCAAAGAACAACTGAAAAGAGAATTAGTGAACTGGAAGGTAAATCTGAAGAAATCACCCAGAAGCCATATAGAGAGACAAGGAAATGGTCATAATAGAATACAGGTTAAAAAATTAGAAGTGAAGAATTAAAATTTCTAGAATACGTATAATTAGAGGACTAGAAAGAGAGAAAATAATAAATGGAGGATATGTAAAATTGGCAACATATGGAATGACAACAAACTATATATTTTCTTTAACTGATGAAATACTTAAACCCACAGGTACAGGTCATATAACATACACCAAACTGTATCTTGAACGGATCTATATTGAAACGCAGTATAGTGAATCGAAAGATAGCAAAGAACAAAGATGATCTTCAAAGTAGCAGAAAAGAAAACTCAGGTCACACACAAAGTAATGGCAATTAGAGTGGTAATAATGCAAGCCAGAAAACCACAGAAAACTATGTTTGAAACAACTATAAACCTAGAGTTTGTTCTGCACCCAAACCGTACTTCAAGATCAAAGGTAAAATGAAGACATTTTCAGTTAATAAACACCTGACAGAGTTTACCAGCACAGACATTTGCTGAACAGAACTTCTAAATGATGTGCTTCTAAAGTAAGGCATATGAAACCCAGAAGGATGTTCCACGATAGAAGAAGGAATGATAAGCAAAGAAACTGGTGAACTTGCATGTACACACATTGTTTGTGCAAAATGAGAACAACAATATCTAATGTATTAGGTTAAACAAGAGGACAAAACAAAATACCAGATCCCCAAAAAGCAAAATTTGGGATTGGAATGATGAAAGTTGGCTTCTAAATTCCTTGTGTTCTTTGGGAGATGGGTGAAGGGAGTGACTTCAGATTTCGAGTAAGAATGAAAACAATCAAGAGCTACCAATAAAGAAAGGAAGCAAGTTGTGCAATTTTTCAATAAAGAAAGGAAAATGTTACGAGAAAACAAATGAATGATGATTAAAATAATAAATGTAATCCATAATGCAAAAATGCCAGAAAGGAGACCAAATGAGCAGAAAATAGGTTAGACAAAGAGAAAGCAAAAATAAGGGTAAAGCACCTCCAGAATTGCTGAGCGAGGGCACCTGAAAATCTACTCCTCTGTAAAAGCAATGAGAACACTGGAAAAATTGTCTGCATCAACTTTTCCAGAACTGTGGGCACTAACCAATACCTTGCAACAATCCCAGGAGCTTTTATTTAAAGAAAAGGCTGAGTCCCACTAAATATATTGAGGTTGGTCACTTTTTTTGTGGTATAATATTCACAGTCTACAATTTACCTTTTTTAATTTACATTTTTTAAAAATTTTTATTGAGAGTATGATAGTCTACAACTTTGTGAAATTTCAGTTGTACATTATTATTTCTCAGTCACTTCACCCTTTGTGCCCACCCCCCACCTCCCCTTTTCCCTGGTAGCCACTAATCTGTTCTCTTTGTCTGCATGTTTAACTTCCACATATGAGTGGAGTCATACAGAGATTGTCTTTCTCTATCTGGTTTATTTCACTTCACATAATACCCTCAAGGTCCATCCATGTTGCTGTGAATGGGACGATTTTATTCTTTTTTATGGCTGAGTAGCATTCCATTTTATATATAGACCATATCTTCTTTATCCAATTATCAGTTGATGGGCACTTAGGTTGTGTGTCAGTGTATAGCCTTAAGCACATTTACATTGTTGCAAAAACACTAGCACTTCCATCTCCAAAAGTTTTTCAACTTCCTCGGCTGAAACCGTATTGATTAAATACTAACTCCATATTTCCACCTCCCCCTAGCCCTGTGGCCACCACCATTCTACTTTCTGTCTCTCTGAATTTAACTATTCTATGAATCTCGTATAAGTGGAATCAGACAATATTTGTTGTTTTGTGACTAGATATTTCACTTTACAAAATGTCTTCAAACTTCACCCCATGTTATAGTCATGTGTCAAAATTTCTTTTCTTTTTAAGGCTGAATATTATTCCATTGTATATCTAAACCACATTTTATTTATCTAGGCATCAGCCAATGGGCACTTGGGTTGCATCCAACTTTGGACTCTTGTGAATGATATTGCTGTGTACACGGGTATACAATTTTCTGTTCAAGTCCCTGCTTTCACTATTTTAGGGTATATATCCAGAAGTAGAATAGCTTGATCAGATTACTGTATGGTAATTCTGAGACTAATTTCTTTTTCAATTATTTTATTTAAATCATAAACGTTGATAACATTGTATAATTTCACCTTGTACGTTATTATTTATCTATTTCAGTATAGACTGCATTGTGCTCACCACCAGTTGCCTAATTTTTATCCATCACCATACGTATGTGCCACCTTACCCCTTTTGCCCACTCCCAGTCCCCTCCCTTCTGGTAACCACTAATCTGTTCTCTTTCTCCATGTGTTTGTTTATCTTCCATATATGAGTGAAATCGTGCAGTATTTTTCTTTCTGGCTTATTTCACTTAACATCATACCCTCAAGATCCATCCATGTTGTTGCAAATGGGATGATTTTGCCTTTTTTATGGCTAAGTAGTATTCCACTGAGTGTATATGTGTATATATATATATGGTATATATATATATATACATATGTATGTATATGTATATGTATACATATGTATGTATATATGGTATATATATATATATATATATATATATACCATGTTAGTTTGCCATTTTAGAGTTGATGGGCATTTGGGTTGCTTCCACATCTTGGCTATTGTGAATAATGCTGCAATGAACATAAGGGTGCATAAATCTCTTTGGATTGTTGACTTCAAGTTCTTTGGATAAATTCCTAGTAGTAGTGGGATAGCTGGATTATATGATTTTAATTTTTTGAGAAATCTCCATACTATTTTCCATAGTGGCTAGATAA